CCCCCCCCCCCCCCCACTTTTTGCATCACTTAACAGCATGAAGAAGTCCTAAAAGGGAAAGAAACATGTTCTTCCTTTAGAGCACTATAAGAGCAGAAAGGGTCTGCTGTGAAACAGATGCTGTTTCGCTGGGGAAGCTCTTGGGTGGGATCCATCTCATATGACTTCAGTTTCCTGGGCTCACTTTTTGGTCAGTGGAAAGAAACAGGCAGTTTAAGGGCACAGTTCACCTGGCCTGTTTTCATGCCTATTTTAGGATAAGCTAAATCACTCCCTAGCAGTCCCCACTTGTCTGCAGAAGCTGTGAAGGCACCCTAGACAGCTGACTCAGCCAGCCATATACACTCCTAACACTGGTTGAAAATACTCAGGATCAGCCTTGGACTCAATGTTAGCTATCTAAGCCATGTGAGGCATAGAAGTTTGCAAAAAGTTTATCTGCTTATAGTATTGTCGATCACAAGTCAGCTACCCAAAAGTCATGAAAATGGTGTAAGACTTGTGATTAAATACAGTGCTGCTGTCTTCTTTCTTCTACTCTTTATTCAGCCCTTGGAGTTTTCAGGTATATTTTTGTCATGCTTTCCACACTTACCCTCCACCTCAAGACCTAGATGAAAGGATATTTTAAAATAAGAGCAAGGAGTCTTGTAACTGTTTGACTCTGGGACCTGAGTATAAACTCAGCATCCATGTCAGTGCCACATATATTCCAACACAAAGTAATTCTCCATAAATAAGATCTGTTAGGAGATTGTAATATTTAGCTAAGAGTCAGACATGGGAGCATTCTTCAGTTGTACAATTGAAGTATTACTAGCTGTTATGGTATTGCAGTAAGATATATTTGCTAAGGTTGAACCCAAGACCTGAGGTATAGAGCCAGTGTTGCCTTCAAGGACAAAAACACATGCTCCCATTTCCCATGGGTTTGAAGGTATTTGTCCTACTGTTTGGACTGCACGCATGTCTTCTTTAGGCAGCATCCCCCATTTAGATGAGTGCCACAGTGCTGCCAAGGCTGATGGCAAACAGCTTTTTTTTTCACCTGGCATCATGGGTGAGCAACCTACTGTGAAAGCACGAAAAAAGTCTTGTACTTTGCCCTGCTGTTCAGACAGGAGTTTAATCAGGAAAATGCAGAAAATTATACTGAGTAGAGACCTCAGGGTAACAGGTGAGGTTGCAAGAGGTGAAGTATCCCTTCTGCTGAAGGATGAATGCTGTGACAGCCTGAGATCTGTCTCTGCACAGTTTATGTAGACTGTCCCTACTGAACCAGCAGATCCAGACATCTACTGATCTCTGTGAACTTGCAGGCTCCACACTGAATATAGTTCTTGCCCGTCTTCTCTGTTGTGCATTTATCACCACCCCGAGCAGAAATTCCAGTGGCAAACAAACTTTTATTATCCACTATCTACATCCTACTGTCCAAAGAGCTCCCTGCTACCCAGGACAAACCAATTTGTCAAGTCTGGACCTGAAGGTATGACTGGCTATACAGTGAATCATCAGATATGGTCACAGCCTGACCCTGGGGAGGCACCTCCCAAGGGGAAGGGGAAGTCGTAAAAAAAGAAGAAAAAGACTCAAAGTGAGGACAGGCTTGGAGGAGAAGGAAGATAAAAGCGTTATAAAACCAACTGTAGCTGCTTGGGAAGTGTCAAAGGGGAGATGCTTTACTCCAGGTTCATTAGAGGTGTACTGGCATTTTTTTTTCTGCCAAAATATGCCCCTTCCTCTCTGGTTTCTTGTGTGACAGAGCAGGCAAAGTCAGCATGTCGTCATAGCTCCCCCGTTGTGGCAGGGAGCTGTGCGTGCTGTGTCAGAGGCTCCCACCCTGCGCTGTGCCCAGCCTATGCACTGATAAACCTCCTCTTCTCATCTGTAAGGAGGAGCAGGAAGTGAATGGGGTTTTACAACGTCTTCGCCGTGAAAAGCTTCTGAGCACCGGCTTTGTTGTTGGTAGGGCATAGCTGATCATCTAAACAGTTAGTGGAGGAGTAATGGGAGCGGTTTCACCTGCAGCCAAATGGCAGCAAGATTTCTCATGCCATTGCTGTCATTCATAAGCCTCTGCAATTATCTGCGTGACCTTCATACTTGTAGGTACAACTGCAAACGTAATCGGTGCCATAAATGTGGCTTTCCCCTCCTCCAAGACATCTAACAAAGCACTGTGTAGCCAGGAAATAAGAAATCATCAACTCATACAGAAAATTTAACCTGAAAATCTGTCACTTAATGGAAACTGCTTGCTTGCTTTTAATCTTAGATGACATATTTTTACTTTGGATACCATTAAATAGAGATATGAAACATGTAGGAATTGTAGTAAATTCAGATACTGAGTTTCTATTCAGCCATCATATTTAGCATGTTGGAAACCCACTAGGAAACGTATTTAACTTTGACATTATTTTCTATTTGCCATCTTAGAAAAGGAGCATCTATCAGGTCCTAGGAAAGTCTATTTTTTCTTTTTCCAAAGAGATCAGTAGACATATAAAATGCAGGTAGGTTCTTCAAGGTTTAGGAAGAACTAAGATCTTACCAGGACTTGCTCGTGGTTAATGTTCAATAGGCATCTTTTAAAAAAAAGCTAAAAAAAAAATCCCAGAAGTTCTGGCAAACTTCTTCAACATCCAGAGCCGTAAGTATAAAATTGTAATGAAAACAGGTTTCAGATCTAGATTATATCTATCTTCAGCTGTTTAAATTTCCTAGACTGATTGAGAAGCTCAGCTGTGCTGGTCTTACACCTCCTGGGGGTGGAGGCTGGGGAAGGGTCCAGAGGTGCTGTGGACCTCTCTGCCCCCAGACAGACCTGGGGTCCTCCGACAGCCTGGGTCTGTACACCCTTCTGGGAGTCACTCCGGAGCCTTGCTGGGCGCAGACCCCTACCTGCCCAAAATCCAAGAGTGCTGTGAAGGAAAGCAGGGAGGTGAAGAGGGAGCGGGCCTCTTGCACGTGAAGGGTCCTTGCACACCGGCATTTTTTCGAAGGGCCAGTGTGTGAATGCTCACACTCGCTTCCTATATTATTACTGCCCTAGCACAGTTTCCCTCCGACATCTCTGACTGAATGCCTGGGCTAAGCATCTCACAGACAACAGCGCTACAGCTCAAGCCTTCTTTAATGAGCATCTACTGTGGGTGAAGATCTATAGCTGTGCAGTTTCTGGTACAAAATGCTGTTTCTGAACTCCATGTATAATAAACTTAGTTCATTGCAATTGCATGGTCTGATTGCAGACTTATCTCTTCAAATCCTGTGTCATCTGCAATTCTTTTATTACCCTTCATGGCCCTTTTCATACAATTTTATATGGCCCTTTAAACTTTTCTCATGATTCATCTGTGGCTATGGCATCCCTCCATAAAGACACCCACATTTCTCAACTTACTTTTTGTTGAGTGCTTTAGATCTAAACCATACCACACAGTTGTTTCTCCCAATCCTTACAAAATCTGTATTTCATGAGCGCAATTATTTTTAGGAACATTCTCAGATTCAGGGTGGATATTGTGAAATAAGCTAGTCAGACAGCTGATCTTCTAGAGTTAGAAAAAAAGAGTCTTACTCCAGAAAGGAGCGCAGAAAGTCAAAGGCAGGTATAGAGCCACTCATGGGAATGGCTGTGTCTGCTTAAATATAATTACTGAAAGTGAATGGAGAGATCACACCACGCCTTCATTAAAAGCTGTTTTAGAGAGCAGATAGAGGAAGTTGCTTTCAATGTAGAGCAGACTTTTTTTTGTGGATTCTACGAAAGCCAGGCTCTAAGTTACATATTTTTGTCACCATCTACAGGTGTGTTATATACTAACACTTTCCTTTTTTGTTGTTGTTTTTTTAAATACAGACACCAGAATTAAAAAATGCGAACTGACAGTGAAGACTGAAAAATGGGCTTGGGCCAAGGGGGCTTCATGAATCGGTTCAGTCCAGCATGTCCTTAATATCTCACATTTAAATCCTTTGTGCTCACCTGAAAAATAAAGCTTCTTTTTTTATGACGAACTCAGGGCAACCTGTGTCTGACCCTCATCCCTCCAAGGACTGCTGTAGGGGTCTCTCCAAAAAAATGGTGGATAGAAAAAACAGAGCAACGAGATTGTTATTTTCCCCTTATGATTCCTAGTTTGAGGAGCACAAAAGCAAACAAACAAGACTTAAAACAAAACTAATGAAATAGGTTTATGGCCTTGTCTTCTGGGATGAATCTAGCTCCTGCTGCTGAGAGGTTCCCTGCATCTGACGCCAGAACCGTGATTGCTGTGCTGGGGTTCACAACACTTTTGGAAACCTACACAGCAGGATGTTTTGTGCACCACAGTGCTCAGGTTCCCGGGGTCCTGATTTGGTGAGGAAGAGGAAAAGGATCTGAAGTAGACACCGAGAGGGAGAAAATGGCAGCAGATTGCTTACCCTTCCTCTGCCGGGCTAGCACAGACCCATCCCTTTGTGCCGGTTGAACGTCTGGAGGGGGAGGGTGAATTAATGTTGGCAATGATCAGTGGGCAATGAAAGAGTTAACCCTGCAATTTAAAAGCGTTAGGAAATGAGGCAATTTCCACCTCTTTCAAGCAGGTCTGTAAAATGTACGCTCACTTCCCTTTCTCTTGAAACTATGACTTTTGCTGCATTATCTATTTACTTTCAAGGCGTAGAAGACTAACAGGACCGTAGAAAAGTATAAATCATAAAGACGCAATAAAAGTTCTGGAGACTCGGTGATAATACCAGGTAGTGCTTCCCAGTGCTCTGGTTAATATTTACCTGCGGTATAGGAACTATTTAAATAATTGTTGATGCCTCGGTCACAATTTTTGCTTTCAGAAGCAGAGCACGGTGTCTTTGACGTGGTTTGAGAGGTTTTCTGAAGACACAGGAACAACTTTTCCATCGAGGTCAAACTCTTAGGAAAGCTTCTTCTGCAGTGCTCGTTTTTATCTCAGCTTGTTGAAAATGGCGGGTGTAAGCGGCTGCATGAAGTACTCCATGTTCATCTTCAACTTCTTATTTTGGGTAAGTTGGCGTTTACATTGTTATTAGCGATGCATGAAATGTGTTCAACATTATCTGAATGCTGTACTTGAAGGAATTGTAAAGAAAATAGAGCATAAGTGGAACTAGAGTACTATTCTAAATCAGGGAGGGGAGAACATCTTTAACTTTTCCTTCCCTTTGTCTTTTTGCTTCAAAATAGCTTTCCCTCTGCATTCAAAAAGTAGACCAGCCATGAGTCTGTCTCCCTGACCATATCGTGCCCTCATGTCAAAGGACATCACTCATTTCAGTCAGAAGATAACAGACTCTCCACTGACAATGCATCGTTCTCTCTCTTTTATTGCCTGCTGCTTGCATCCAAACGGCATAATCCTGAAATTGTAGTTGCAACAGAAGCTACAGAAAATTCACTTGTATTTTTCTCCTCACAACTGATAAATGGTTTTCATATCCTTCTTTGTGGTTCTTTGCTTTATGTTCAGTGTCAAAATTAGTTTCTGACGGTGGACAGTAAACATTTGTAAAATGGCCTGGGCTGGTAGTACTGTCAATAGCTGTATCGAGGCAGATACAGCACAGGGCAGCAGGCAGATTCTGGGTGTCGTTTGAGCCATATTTGTCTATTTATCACATCTCAGCTGTTTTGCAAGAATTTCAGGTCCTGGAAGCTCTGGAAAGTTTTGAGTTAAAGAACATTTCTCTCACGATTCAACCTCACTGTCAGCTTTCCTGTCAGGTTTACCAGAGGGTCCCTGAAACCAAAAGTGAAACTAGTAGCCACATCATGGGCTTTGCCTTGAGGGATTTTTTTTCAAGTGAAAAGGTGATACCATTCAAAAGGGACCACAAACAGTAGCCTTGGAAAATTTGTGGCTAGCCAAAATGAGAAGAATTAGCAAAATTCTTTGATCACTTGTGGACCTCGCAAAGAAATTCCTAACAGGCCAAGTGATGGTTCGGACTTCCTCCCCCTCTCTTCTTCCTCCACCTCCATCAAGGCAGATAGACTGAAGATATTTGACATCTGTGTTGAAGTTTTTCTGCAACAGTACTTATAAAGACTCCATAAGTTTCTGTCTTGGAATTCCTGCCCCTCAGGAAGTTTTTCCTGTTCACATTCATCTGTATTTACTGTAAGCTAAAACACAGGCAAATGTCTTAGCCTAGCATTAGAAAAGCTCCAAACCACTTCTGGAATGAACATGTGAATAACATCCCATGCCTAAGCCTCCAAGTTACAGCATGGGGGACCTAGGAAAAAACTCAGGATGCGATCCTGGGGAAGTCTTTAAAGCTCACAAAACAAGCAGGCATGGAAGAAACTTTTCAAACCCAACTTCATGCCAAAGGTAGGAACATCTGGATTCTAGCCTGGGGAAGAATATTCTGAGAGCATTTGCAGTGCATGTGACTGCCTGGATGGGACAGAGGAGGACAGGAATGCAGCTATAGTTACTTTTTTAAAGGAAGGGCTTTAGCACTACCAAGACAGGGAAGAACAGACGTGGTGCAAACAGGGATATGGGCCGATGGAGTACGATGAAGCTGAATCCTTTGATTCATGTTCCTGTCTCTAATTCCTGGAAATCATTAAATGCTGTAGTAAAGCACAGGGAACAGTCCCACAGCTGGTCTCCCAGGTGCACAAGGTAGTTGGCAAGTAGAAAATTGAACTGATACTGGGAAATGAAGGTGACTTTAACCTTAACTAGATAAGAGCCGTGGTTGCGTATTTACCTGGCGTCCTTTCATTTTAAGCCCTTTGCAATCTCTCTGGGAGTGTCCCCTCTTAGGGGACACAGGAATAGGCTCTCCAGCCTTCTGACGCCTTTTTCTAAGCAGCTCTTACAGCATTGCACTGTGTAAGCCATGGAATAGTCCAAGCTAGCTCTGCAAAGTGGTTCTGGCTTCACTATACAATGTGTGCCCCCTGGGAATCTACAACCCCAGGAGACCCATGCTGGGCTCCAGCGTGTCCATAGAGTTTTGCATCCTCCCAAGTTTGGTGAAAGAAAGTTGAGCACGGGCTTTTGAAGACCTGTGCTTTGGAGCTGGGTGCCTATATGAAGCTTCTAATAGTCCTTAAATTAATCCTTCAGTCAATTTTGTGCATTAAACCTGACACACAGGTCAGATTTTTCCTCTCTGCCTTCTTCAGAGTTTGCAGGATATCCAGTCTCACCTACTGCCCTTATTCTGTCAGCTTCTGCTACTCGACATCATGCAAAATTGTAGAAGTACCTTTATTTTTCACTGAATATTGATGTCTGATTCCAGTTTGAGGCAACCTGATTAGTGACAGGGCAATCTCTCATCAGTTCTTGATACCAGCCTTGCAGTTGCATCTATAACCAAAACAGCCCCTTCTCCATACCTTACATCTGAACATCTCGATCCCTGAAAGTAACAACACAAACCTTGCAGGTATGCTGAGCCATAGACCACATTCTCTGTTGGACCTTCCTAGCACTGTTAATTTCAGGTATCTCAAGGAAGTGTTCCAGTCAAATGTTTTCCTAAACAGGAGCAACCTTGTAGAAAGCTCCTCCTGCTACCCTTAAACTGGTTGCTTAAAAAGTGCATGCCAGTGGTGAGAATTCCCCATAGGTTTAGTATTCCTGTCTCTGAGAACAAAGTCTTGATATACTGCTGGTCCAGAGTCACGGGAGGCTCATCTGAGGTGACATTAATTTAACTAGACTGTATTTCTTCATCACACCAAGACTGAAGGGCTTGAGAAGAGAAGGATCGATCGAATTTGAGGGACAACAGTCCTGATCCTAGTCAGTTTATGAGACTGTGCTGAGGCCACTGATTCTTGGTCAAGGGTTGAGGAAAAAGTACAATAGCCATCTAATTTTGGGAAAACGGTGAGGACCTTTTCAAAGAAGCTCTTTTTATTCCATTGGAAAATACTGGTTCACTAAAAATGAAATTTTCTGAAATGAAAGTTTCTTTAGTCGGAACTTTATTTTAAGAAAACTTAATAATTAGGAATGGAGTATTACAGCAAACTCAAACTGTTCGACTCAGACTCTTTGGGAACAGACCATTTTGATTTGTTATTTCAAAACTTTGTGTGTTATTGTACAATTTCCATAGTATGAAGATAAACAGAAACAAAACATTAAGATTTTACTGAAATGGAGCTCTTTTTTATCAGCCTAAACCTACTCTATTTTTATAATTAAAATATATACACCTTACTAAAAATTTTGATTTATAAACGATGTTTCCTTCTTGAATAGAGGAAATAAATATGGTAGCATTCCCATCTGATTGGTAACTTCCTGTACATTCAGCTATATTTACTTCTACCACTGCGCTGGATTTTTATGGGAGGTCCTATGTAACAAATAAGGCAGTGGGCCAAATTCTGTTTGGATTTGTAGCAATAGCTGCTTCAGTGGAAATTTTCACATTAGCGAGCCCATGTTGTCTGGTGCATAGCCACATGGCTCATACAGTGCTGCTGAACAGGACCCAAATACAGAGTCATACAATACCATCAGTTTCTAGGCAGATTCGGCAGGATTCAGAAGGTTTCAGTAGGGAGTTCTAGTTAAATTCGATAACATGATATAGCTGTCATCGATTGTACAACTTTCCTTTTCATGTTTAAACTGTACTTATAGGAGCCTTACTTAGAGCAGGAAAATGTGTGGTACTCATGTCTGAGTGCTGGCTCTGTTCCATATTAAATAATCTGCTAAAGTCATTATGGTCTTTGATGCTGAATATTATATGAAACCTTTTGCGGGGAAAGTATTTCTTTAAGAAAAATTATCTAAACCATGTAAAAATAGCTCTGTTAATTTTAAAAGGTTAGGAATAGTCCCAGTCTTCATGGGAAGCTCATAACAACATTTCAGGGCCATTTATGACTTGGGTATTAATGACATACAGGAAGAGAATTCTAAATCTGACCAGCCTCTGGCTCTCAGTGTTGCCTCTTTCCCACCAGTCGTGTCAGTAGGCACAATCCTTACACCTGATTAGCTTCTTAATTACCTGTCTCCAACACTTAATAAAGAGACATTCTGTGTAAGAATCATCATGGACAAGGTTAGGAATAGAGTGACTCGTGCATAGTGGAATGGTGCCTCAATGATCAACGAAACAGGAGCACAACTAGTGATTAGGGAACGTGTCTGCACCTGGGATTCATCTGTCCTGACTTCAACATCTTAAAGCAAGTCACCCCAGCCTAATTTTCACATGTACCTAACTGAGTATGGTCGTATTCTGTAAAAATGTAAAGGAAATAATAACTACAGGCATTTTATAGGAGGAATATTCTAAGGATTGGAGGTGGTCACATATTGTTGCAATAGAAACAGCAGAAAGACGTTACGTGGAACTTCTCCTGGTAGTTTTACCATAGAGAATATGTCTCTAGATATGTCTCCTGCATAATTCTAGAAACAACGTCTATACAAATACCCCTTACCGAATCTCATGTGTGTCCATTATAGAAGAAACAATGTTCTTTGCAGCCATGTTATATACATACAATAGCAATTTATATTCCTCTCTCATCTGACAGAATTTCTGTGTGCTTCCCAACCACATGTATAAATCATCAAGGAAATGTGGAGTCCTCTGAGGTAGAAACATCAGGGATTTGGTGCATAACTGAAGATTTAACTACCCTTATGAAGTTTCCTGGATATGAATCAATAGTCTATGCTCCAGCAATTCATGTTTCTTTCACTTTGCCAAACAAATGATTTCAGAATTTTGGCCAGCATTCGGTGCAATTTGGATGCTGAACGTTAATCTAAAATTGCTGATCTTTCTAAATATTCTTTATTTTCTCCTGCAGGTGTGTGGTTCCATTATTTTGGGAGTCTCTGTATGGATACGTGTCAGCAAAGACGCTCAGCAGGTAAATGTCATAGCAGAACCGTGTAAAATGTGGAAGCTACTGCATACGCTTTCATTTCCCACCTTCATTTCCATAAGTCTGTTATGGTTTTGTTGAAGTGGTTTGTGTGGGTGAAGATCAATGCATTTTGTGATGCTTAACATTAAACAAGGTGGTGCAGGTAGTCACATGAAGTGATTGACGTAAGCACAGACATGTGACTACAAGAAGTGTCTTCTGGTGTTATTAATGTAGGTTCTTGCAGATGCACACTGACTTCTGCTGGAAAACTTGTGTCTCTCTCTCTCCTCTAATGAAAACTAATGATGGTTTTGTTACTGATTTCAGTGTTAGAGAGCATAATGAGGAGCCATGAGGCTCCTAGACTTTTCAGTGTCTTTCCGTATTAGAATAGTATAGTCATATATGTTCCTAGGGTTACTTCCGTATATTTGCAGGGAATATTTTTACCTTTCTCACTATCTTAAATAACATGATTATTATTTCCCCAGTAACTGCAGCTTTGAAAGGGAGCAAGCGTTTTTCCCTTCTATTTTCAGTGGCTCCTTAAAAACACCTTATCCTTTTTCCCTCATATTTATATAGAAAGAGTTTTAGAGACCCAGAAATCTTTACTTGGGATTAAAATGTCCTAACAGCACTCCTGGAGGGGAGTAGAAAGTCCCTGAGTTCTCCTCCTGGATTTTATCTGGGTTATTAAATTACTTCAGACTTTCTGACTTTCCTTTTCTGCAAAGCTAAGGAAAATACAATTTTGAGGAGCCCTTAATCTTGCAGGCATTCAGCAGAGGCTGGTCCCATTGGTGCAAAGGTCCTTTGGCCCCCTGGGCCCTGCCAACCTTTTGCCAAGTGTATTCCCAGTGGCACCGGCCTCTGACGCACAGCGCGTTTTCCTCCGCCCTTGAGTGAAGCTGATTTCACAGCTCGTAGGTGCTTCTCTGAAAGGCACTGTGCGACCTTTGCATGTCGGTGCTTTGCTGTACTAACAGGAAGAACAACCTGGATCTAAGGTTTAAGCAGCATATTCCTTCTTGTGAATTTGGCCCATAGGAATCTAAGTGAATTTGAAAATTTAATTTGCATAATTCTATTTCCAAAAAGGCTTTCTGGTCATAGAAGTAAAAAAACAGCCAGGTGTCACATGGAAGCATTTTTTTTTTTTTTAAGCTTTCAGATTGACCCTTTGGTACAGATTAGGTTGCAAATCTTCAGATCACTCCTCTGCTGCTCTACCACAGTCTGTCGGTTAAGAACAATAATTTTTAAGCCAGTATTTTCCCATCTGGAAATAAAAAGGCAGTAGAGATAAGATAGCTTTATGTATTTCCTGCCATTTGGCTGATGACGCTGTTGCCCTTAGCCAGTCCCAGGTGTCTCATGTCTGGCAGAGGAAGGTTGCAACAGAACTCAGTCCATGATGACGTTGTGCTATAGGGTAAATTAGGTCATAGTGGAGAGCTCTGCTGTTCTCTGCTGTGCAAGAGGAAGAACAACCACATTCACTCCTCAATCAACATTTTACAAGAAGCTAAAATTGCCATAATGCCTCTTGTATGATGGCTCAGACGGTACAATGGAGCTTGGAAAACCGTAACTACTATTATCCTTTCTTATTGTTTGAGAGACCTCCTATTTAAAAAGCATACTTCAGTGAGTCCCAAACTGGTTTCCTGAAGTGACTTTTAGTACTCCCCAAAACCTGTGAATTAGGAGTAGGGACCAAGACTGAAAGCATTTTCTCACATTTTGCCTCTAGGCAGGCAAAGTTCCCGTTCAAAACCAATGTATGTTTTGCCTGAGTAATAATTGAACAGACCATAAGGATTTGGCTGTAGATGAATAGAGCTTTCTAGGAATAAATAACAGGAGCTTCAGTCCAACTTGGAAGGGGAAAGAACAACACATTCTTCAAATTATACTTGTCTATATACCTTTGCAATTTCCATCAGAAGATAGATGTGACAACTTCCAGACATTTTTGCTAATCTTGGCACCAGCCACACTGGAAAATATTCTTTGAACATTTTTCTCTATTTTGGCCTTTGGCCTTCGTCAGTCCTGTGGGAACTGAATAATTTGATATTTAATAATATTGAGGTATATGAATTGTTTAGTTGAATGTCCCACACATGAAAATACAGTCCTCATCTCTGAGGGTAATATTAGAGATCATGCCTAAAACAGAAAGCTGCTTTCGAAAATACATCTAACTATCTCTAGTATTTTCAGCATCGCTCTGAGAAGTGTTCTCTCAGGAACAGCCACAGAGTATGTTCCTGGCCTTCTAATGACCAACTGAGGTTTTGTTTCTTTAAATTTTGGTTAACGTAGGAGAGATTTTGAGATAATCAGTTTCGCTACTTCCAGTAAAAAGCAAAGATTCATCAACTGAAAACTAACTGAAAGCCACTTTAAAGACAAGAGATCTTAATTTACTCTGTAAAGTTGACTTTCATACAGGTTCTACTGAGCTCCTCAACAAAACGCTTAAGAAGGGGGCACTAGAGGTTTGTTTATTTATGGATCAGAATTTCTCCATGGTTGATAATCAGTATATTTATCAGTTACCAAGTAATTTTTTTATTTTGGGGGGATACAGATGTTTTTAGGAGGAGCTTTTTGTAGCTGAAAGATTTTTTTTTCCTCTCTTTTTTCAGGAGTTGGAGATAGACAGCAGCCTGTTTGCAGGGGTTGATCTGCTGATAGCCGTGGGCTCCATCATTATGGTCCTTGGGTTTCTGGGGTGCTGTGGTGCCATAAAGGAGAGCCGGTGCATGCTGTTGTTGGTAGGAAAAAAACCCCATTTGGCTACCTTTAACAGGCCACAACTACATTTGATGGATAAGGTCATTGCAAGTAGTGTCAAATGAGGATGAGGCCTTTTTGTTTGACCAAATGCTTGATTATGATCATGTGTTTTCGTTGCTTACCTTGTATTTGAGCCCCTTTTGAACTGTAGTGCAGAAAAAATGGTGGGTGGTCTCATCCACAAGAAGACAGGTTCCAGAGACCCCCGAGCATACCACCAGATTTTTTTTCCACCCAACCATCAGTGAAGTTCCCTCCACCAGTCCTCCCCAACTACCTATCCCATTTAATTTCATAAATTCCTAGTTGCTCCCTTTGCTGGTCCTCCTAGAACATCCTCCCTGTCCTCCTGCCCAACACCTCTCACCTACACACTGCCCGTCATGCCACTGCTCTGGTGTGCACCTTGTTTTGATCACCAGCTGAGCACACTCTGTCTTGAGCACCTCCTGTCTCGAGCACCCCCTTTTCTCATCACCAAAGAAGGAATAACTGGAGCAGCTCTGACTGGAACTTCAGTTCATTCTACCTGCATGGTTATTCAAGGACATGAAAGCTTAGCATTCACTTAGAAGAAATTGTATCATCTTGGTCAAAAGTACTATAGTTTTCTCCGCCTTTTGTTTTCTTCCTAGTTTTTTATTGGGCTGCTTCTGATCCTGATCCTTCAGGTCACAGGAGGTATTTTAGGAGCAGTGTACAGATCTCAGGTACAGTATTATTCTGCATTTGCATTGATATCTTCCTGGAGTTTTGTTTCTACCCTTGAAAACTAATTACATATTTTGGACTTGCAGATTGAAGCATCCCTTAACACGACTTTCCAGGCAAGTGTGAATTCACTGCAAAGCTCTACAGAAGAATCTAAAAAATTTCAAGAGACGTTCCAGAAGTTTGAGAAAATGGTAATTAAAATGTAACAAAGGGCAGGGGGCGTTGCTATCAGTTTCATCTCTAGCATTTGTCTGTGCTTCATTTTATGGCTATTCTGCCGTAGATTTGAATTTCATTCCCTGGGGGTGGAGAAAATTATGTAGAAGGGAGGTTTGTTTTTACTGTGCTTATACCCGATCCTGGCTTCCCCCACCTGCAGGACCCCAGAAGGTGGATACTCAGTGCCAGCTTGCTCCTGGGTATCATGCAGAGAACAGCCTTCAGCCTCACCAATATCATTGATGGTGTAGACCCCTGCCCCTGCCACTAGTGCCTGTGTCTATACATTGACAGAGTGCCTGCTGCTATTTGGGTTTTTTTCAGTCCCTAAGGGGTGATGACTTTGATGGGTAGGCTTAAAGGACTCCTGTATTTTTAAAGGATGCTGGTGTGAAAGAAAAGGAAGCCAGAAACAATATTTGGGTGGCTTATAATACTTCTACTTCTCCTGCCCCATTCCACCTCCAGTTCTGTTCTCTGCTTCTGAGCTAACTTATTTCTTCTGATATAATAAGCAGCTCCCTGGAGAGATAATTGAAGGGTGAGCAAAATGAAAAATCCCATAATTACTGTATTAATTTTTAAATAGACCAGGATTGCTTTATTATGTCCCACAGCCTTTGCTTTTATAAAAAATTATGTGAACATTTCCAGCTGCTTTTTAAAAGAGGGAGGACCTCAAACCCAAACCTGCACCCCTGAGCTTTAGTGGCTTGAATAAAGTGGAACATGAAGTGAAACCGCACCTGGTTTAGGTTTCACAAACCCCAAATGGAGCCCTGGCCTCCTCAGTCCAATTCTAATTTAAAGGGCTAACCACCATTTGAGGTGGTTATTTTTCTAGATTTCATTTTACATTTTCAGCCTGGGTTTTCAAGATGTGAAATGTGGATGGTACTGAGGCTCTTACCTTCTGCAAGTATAACTTGCAGAAAGAAGATGATTCTCAAAAAATATTATATCCAGTGTTGTTCCATGTTCCAGTTCCATTCTGGCACTGACGATTGCCAGCTTTATAGTATGTTAATGTTTTTGAGCACTGTATACTGAAAATCTGCATATTTCTTTCTTTTTTTTTTTTTTTTTTTTAAAGAAACAATTTATGCACTTACATTCTCACAGCTGGTATGGAAATGTAAAGGATGTTTGAGACATACCAATTTGGGACAACTTCCACATGAGAAAAGATGAAAGGAAATTTCTCCTTCATTGTTCCTCTCAGCTCCCCTGCCTACTCTCCTTGAACTGCAAACCACCACTTTTTTCTTCATCTCCCCATTTCCTCCTTTCTTGCAGAACGAGTGCTGTGGTTTGCTGAATGGACCAGCAGACTGGGGAAAAAATTTTTTTACTCTTAGCGAAAATATCTGTAAGTGTGAACGAAGCCTTGAATCAACACAGCTCTGTGCCTTATTTAAAGGACGATATGTTTATGTAAAGGTAAGAAAAATAGAATGTTCCACTCTTCTTTCCAAAAAGAGGTTTTAACCCAAGGTTGTCTTTGGTGACTGGCATAGTCAGCAGTTCTGTATCTTTCCAAAAGGGCAAAGTTTTGCCTTCTCTTCATTAGCCAAAATTGCCCCTGTGCCATCTGTTATGAAATGACTGTGCATACATGAAATATCCTGCTGCTTCCTCTTCCTGGGATGCCTCTATTTTAGCTGTCCAGTGCAGTACCCTTAGGACCTCAGCAGTCTGCATGGTTACTGTGGGTGAAAACTGTTATGGCTTTGGGGTCAGGGTATGCCTCTGGGCCAGAGCAGCCCATCAGCTACCCTTTGGCTCACATCAGAAGGTTATGTTCCCACCCAGGCTCATTCTGGTGGTAGACATGTTGACTCAGAGGCTTTCAAAGGGATATTGGAAAAAGAACACATTTAATGCAGGACATTTGGGGGTTTATAGTCCTTTAATGAAAACACCCACACTCATTTTGCAGGGTCTGCTGGAAGGAAACCTTACATGTTGTAGGCTTCATGACAGCATGCTCAAAGCGTAATTTCCTACAACTCCAGCCTTTTGAAAAGCTTGTGGCAGTTAATAAAATAATAAGGCAAAAATGTCTGGTGACAGACAACAAGAAAGCATACTCAAAAATGGGTCAGTGAGATCTCAATCAAATGATTTCAAGATTTATCTGTCTCTTTATATGGAAATTTGGACTCCATGCATACAAAGAAAAATATGAAAAAAAAAAAAGTGGAAAACTAGCACAAAATAGTTGCATTTTTAGAATGCTTATGGTACAAAGCTTGCCAGTCTGCACCTAGCACAAAGCAGATTTTCGTAAATGTCCAAATCTGGTTATATACTTTTCTAAACACATAGCTCCTTAGCCAGGTCCTGCCTGAACACTAATTTCCTCCCTGTGTAGTCCCACAGAAGCAAATACTGTTTTAAAGCAAGGGAACAGTCTGGTTAAGTAGAGGATGCCAGAACCCAATCTGGAAATAAGATGTATACAAAGAGGCTGTTTTGGCCACATTTTAATGTCTTTTTGGCCTCAGGCAAACCCTCAAAGGACACATGAGAAGCCATCAGTGAAATTACTGCAGGTGCAAGATATCGCTCACATGAACACACAGATTTCATGGTGGTGTTAGATGCTAGTAAAGACATTCAACTCTTGTGATCCAGGAAAAAAGATTTGAAACTCAGTGCCGTTCTGAGTCAGCTTAAATGAGAGGGGTTTTAGTAGGACTAGAAGGAGAAGACCCATGTGTTTACTGTGAGGGAGGAAATATGGTGAAAGGGTATAACTATATCTGGGGGGAAGGCAGTTGTAGTGTTGGAACAGTACCATAGTTTTGATGGATTTAAGCCGTACTTGGCTTTCCTGCCTGGAGAAGATGTAGTCGTTACAAGAACAGATGTATGCATTTATTAAAAAGGAGAGTAGCTCTGCATAGAACTTCAGATATGATCACTCTCTTCCTCCCAGCCCCAGCCCGAGACCACCAAACATTTGTCAAAATTAATATTTAAGCTAGGTTTTATATCCAAATACTGATAGCTGAGCCTGGTTTTAATAATAGGCTTTGAAGTTTCAAATCCAAACATCACATTAGTGGGAAAGTGAAGTTCTCTTTCAGATCTGGTCATTGCTGCATTGGCTCTTCCCTAGCAGCGAATGATTATCAAGTGCGAGCAAGGATAAATGCTTCTTTTCTTGTCAACTGAAAATCCTGCAAACAGTAGGCATTGCAGTTGCATGTCTTTATTTGAAATTGTACCATTTTATGGTCAGCTACTAAATTAATCTTCATATTTGGGCAGGCAAAGACTACATATCTTTCTCAGAGCACAAGGTACCCATCGCTCTGTTCTTTGTTGCAGCAAGCCAGAGTGAATGCAAATAGCATTTGAGAGAGAGTGTGACGGGAGTTATTTTAGAGGATACATTCCTAATAACCTTAGGATAATATTGCTTACCTGTAATTAATCATTTTGTCTTATTTTTCAGCCTTGTGGAGAAGTGATTATCAACTACCTTAAAAACCATCTGCTCATAATTATGGGGATCGCCTTTGGACTGGCTGTTATTGAGGTACCAGTATACACCATTAAAATATTTAGTAGCTGACAAGCAATATGTTCTACTTAGAAATACACTGGGAATGGGATGAAAACACCTGGCTTGCTCAATTAATAGACAAGGGAAAACCACCTCTCACCTTAGCTATAACCTTACTGTTATTTCATATAAACAGTATACGGCTGCCGAGCTGAGAACTTCAGGTGGGATCAGACCACCCTGCTGCCTGTATATCTCGTGGCTCTTTTTTCTGCAAAGATTTGACAGTCCTGGAGCCAGGCAGTGCCTTGACAGCGAGCCCTGTAGGCAGAGGGATGTGTGGATACCCAGCCCCAGGAAGACATAGGGAGGAACAGCCGGTCTTTTCCTCCTCTTTCTCTCCTTTGCTTGAGGAAAAAGTCATCCCATAAGAAAACTTAGCCCCTAAACTCCATAATCTGATCACGGAGAAATTATGATACAAAATTATTACTCCGAAGGCATAATTTAGCCATCAAGACGGCGCGTGAATGTGCCTGAGTGCACACCTGTGCTGCTCCATATATTCCTGTGTGTAAAAAAAGCAGCCTATGTGAGCTCTTTACTTTAATTGCTTCATCATACACTGCAGAATAACATGAGGAGTTTTCTCTGAAGAGAAGAGGAAAAACAGTGAGGTTATCCAGTCAGCTACTTGATGAATGATAGGCTTTGATTAGGAGAAAATGACAAAGGAACAGGGGATTTCATCATGTTGCTTTCTTCGGTCATTTTCTTCCTTTTCACTATTCCTCTGTGGTTTCCCTCCTCCTCCGCCCCCCACCGATGGCTGTTTGAGGGAAAAGCAGAAATGACGAAGATGATTGCTGTGCAGAGTTCAGTCTGTTATTCCGAGTGAAAACTTCTTAACAGCATTGGCAGAGGATTGCTCCTCGTGGTAGAAGAGTGGGCAAGAGCCCCAGCTCAAAAATACATTTCCAGGAAAATAATAGTAAGCAGGGAAGAGATATGCAGCTACAGTGCTGGGAGAGGACAGGCCACTAAGTTCTTACTCGGCACAGGCTTCATGTTATTTAAGATGCTATATGTGGGGGGTCAGGCCTTTCACCTGTCTGTAGACTTTGAGGGGAAAATAGGTGAAATACAGCAATATTAAAAGGCCTTTAAAAATATAAGAGAAGTGTAAAATTGCATCTGTGTCCCAAAGGTAAGTTATAAGTCACTTTGCTCTAGTTACTGCCGTGACACGAGTTGCAGCCTTTAGTTCACTGGCCATCATTCTTCCCTGTTCTCCAGTTGGCATTTTCTGTGGTGGCTGCCTCTCCCAATTATAAAAGGATTAGAAAACAACATGAATAAACAATATGAGCTTCAGCTGGTACAAATAGTCAGCTGGCAATTTACACTTGATAAACATTTAACCTTTCCAAAGATATTAACATATTATGACCTCTCAAGTTATTGCAAATCAAAGACCTCATGCTTAAAACATCCGCCCTGCTCTGGAAAAACCCAGATAAAAAGAAGTGGAGAAGGAAAAGTACTCTTCCCTAGAGTTCCCCCCCTCTGCCTGCTCCATTATGCCACTTGTAGGCTGTTAATGGTTTCAGCTCATCCTTTAAATGGAAATGCTACTGAGAAGAAGGGCCTGGTTTCACTTGGGCACAAGTGAAAATGTGGGTATGATATGTCAGGGGAGCCCTGTCAGCTTATTCCAGCTGTGAGTCCATTCCCTCATCTTAGCTGCACCCCTGTGTTCTGTATGCTCTCCACTGTCTCTTCCTTAAATAAATGAAGCATCCTGGTGTTCCTGGCTTCATAAATGTCATTTGGATACTTACAACTTCTGTGAAACACCTTCACAGACCAGTTAAGTTTAAATCCAGAAGGAAGCTTTCTGATCTTCTGATCTCTCCAGCTGTCTGTCACATGCTGTGGAATTTCACCCAGTAATTCCCACTACAGAAGGTGACCCTACTGAATTTTATATTTCAAGCAACAGCTTCTTTAGTGGACTCAGTGTTTCTATCTCAAATTTATTACTGATGTATATAAAATACTTGTTGCATGATCATTTGACACTCAAAACGATGGGGCATGTGTATAGACATATATACATATACACATATATGCCTTTACACATATGTTTACATAAAAGAGGTGACAGTGAAAAAGAAGAGAGATTGTAAAGGGAAACAATCCTTAGAATACGCAATGGAATCAGAAAGTTCCTCCAACTGTCGTCTTAGAAAATAGAAGATTGAATTTTTTTCCGAATTTCTTGAACTTCCCAGCACTTGCTGCTCCATTGCAGCTAACAACTGCATTTTAAACCCCCAGAGTTACAGGGTTCCCCATCCATAAATCCAATCCATCTTTTAAACAAATGAAAGTTTTCCATCATGTCTGCAGTCTTACCTGTGGTACATGCTGATTTCATTAAAACGGCTATATTCTAGAGTCACGTTTTTTTAAAAAAAAATACATTGGAAAAGATCTTCTGCATAGCAGATTTAGCCTGCATGGAAATCCAAGACATTTGCAAACAAAATGTTCCCACTGTGTATCAGTTGTATCCTGGGATTTCCAGGACTGCCAAGTAATACCAGAAATGTCTTTGTTTTCCAGATTCTCGGTTTGGGGTTTTCTATGAGCCTCTACTGCCAGATCCAGAGAAAATGAAACTGTGGAAGTGTCAGAACGATGTCACCAGCCAAATCAAAACCTTTGTAGATAGAGGGATATTTGGCTTGGCACATTCAGATAAATATATGCGTGTCCCAGGCAGCTGTTCTGATGAAAACGGCAACCCTTGTGCACATGGATGCTTCGCAATTTGCAAAATTACCTCCTTAGACTTCATAAGATTTAATGATGTGAATGTGAATTTTTATTTGCAATAAACATCTTTGTTTCTGTTTCCGAGGAGTTTATTTTGTCTGAAGATCGCATTTAAGTCATGTCGAGATTCCGAGTTCGCCACGCAGTGTCTCCACATGGGCGGACACGCCACCCCTAGCAGAGTCACCCTAAACAGCTGCAAACAATCTTGCGGTGGCTTGACTGGTCGGGGGAATCACATGCCCCCAGGCAGCTTTGCTTGTGGAGCTGGGTGTTTTCATTACGAGTGTGGCAGGTCAGTTTGACACTCGATATGGTATGTACGGTCAGGGGTTTGTTACTTGTGAGAAGCACTGGGACTAAGTTCCATCCAAATAGGAAAGCCACGTTTCCCTTCAGGGATGTTTAAATCAATATCCTGGCAGCTGAGATGGTCACTCGCAGGCCCAAATGATGCTTAGATTGCATATGGGAGTTGGATTTAGTGGCAGGTGTTTTGCAAATATGCATCGAGGGTGAAATCCAAGACAGATGTACACAGAAGTCATGCGGGTGAGACTTCACGTGGGGCGGATAAGATGAGCAGTGGGCTCCCAAGCAACGAGTTGGATTTAGTGGCAGGTGTTTTGCAAATATGAATCGAGGGTGAAATCCAAGAAAGATGTACACAGAAGTCATGCAGGTGAGACTTCATGTGGGGCGGATAAGACGAGCAGTGGGCTCCCAAGCAACAGGTGGAAAAATGAGGGCACAGCTGGTAACAGCAGCAATATCATAGAATCATAGAATCCTAGGTTGGAAGGGACCTCAAGGATCATCTGGTCCAACCCTGCTAGGTAAGATCACAGTCTAGACAAGATGGCCCAGCACCCTGTCCAGCTGCATCTTAAAAGTGTCCAATGTGGAGGAGTCAATCACTTCCCAGGGGAGGTTATTCCAATGGTTGGCTGTTCTCATCATGAAAAATTTCCCTCTCATGCCCAATCAGAGTCTCCTCAAGAGCAACTTGTGTCCATTCCCCCTTGTTCTCTCCATGTGACTCCTTGTTGTTGTGGCTTAACCCAGCTGGCAACTAAGCAGCATGCAGCCGCTCGCTCACTCCCCCCACAATGGGATGGGCAAGAGAAACCAAAGGGTAAAATTGAGAAACATATGGGTTGAGATAAGGACAGTTTAATAGGTAATGCAAAAGCCTTGCATGCAAGCAAAGCAAAGCAAGGAATCCATTCACTGCTTCCCACTGGAAGGCAGCTGTGCAGCCATCTCCAGGACAGCAGGGCTCCATCACATGTAACAGTGACTTGGGAAGACAAATGCCATCACTCCAAACGTCTGCCCCTTCCTTCTTCTTTTCCCACTTTATATACTGAGTATGACATCATATGGTATGCAATACCCCTTTGACCAGTTGAGGTCAGCTGTCCTGGCTGTGTCCCTTCCCAGCTTCTTGTGCACGTGGCAGAGCTGAGAGCTGAGAAGTCCTTGGCCAGTCTAAGCATTACCCAGCAACAACTAAACCATCAGGGTGTTATCAACATTCTTCTAGCACTAAATCCCAAACACAGCACTATACCAGCTACCTGGAAGAAAATTAACTCTGTCCCAGCCAAAACCAGGACACTTTTAATAAGGGAGTCTCCATCTTCCTTATAGCTACCTATGTAAAGAATACCTGCTTTGGGCTGGCCCGTGCTTGTGAGTGTTGGGGCCCGGAGGCACTGACAGCCCTGAATGTCCCTGCCCAGCCCTCTGGGGCTCCCCCCACCTTGCCCATGGTCCAGGAGACCATGTCAGCACCATGGGGCCATCGGCCCCTGCCCCAGCAATGCTGCACACCACAGCAGCACCAGAACCAGCCCTACTTAGCCATGGGTTCCCACCAAGCTGGGCCCACCTATGCGTCCATCATGTCCTGGCCTGGCCACAGCCCATCCCCAGGGAGATGCCTAATGCCCAGGGCTGGGGCTGCCCCAGTGTCCCCCTGGCTGCTCTGCTCCTGGCTGGGGTCGTGGGATGGATCCTGGCTGCCAGGCCCAGCCCTGCCACCCCAGGGGACCTCATGTTGTCCCAGCCCCCAGAGTTCTGCTGGCCCAGGTGACTCTGACAGAAAGTAAATGGCATCAGGGAGCATGTTTTTTAAAGGTATGGGTCCCCATCTTCATCTGTAGGAGCAACTTCAAACACCTTCAGACAGCTGCTCTTAGGAGAAAACCACGTCATGTTCTTCTATGTTAAGACCCCTCGAATGCCCACGACTGTCTCAAAGCACATCCAGACACCTCCCATCTTGACAGAGCCATGCAGCTGTGACTCATAATTACATTAAAAGCTTTCCTTGAGCAGAGACCATTGCCAATGCTTTATACTGACAGGATTAAGTTCAGGTAAAACTCATCTGCCACAAGCACTTCCTTTTAAAACACATCCAGAAGAAAAGTTTCTGTCCCATCCCCCACCCTTTCTCTAGCACTCAGACCATTAGGACAAGCAGTGAGAGCTGCTTTCAGAAATTTATGTGTTTCTCAGGAAAATCATCTAGCTGTCAGACAGTCCTGGCACTTTCCCTTCCCTCTGTCGAACCTCAGAAACTGCCAGAGGAATTCAAACTTTGGTGGACCAGAGAAAAAGCATGGCTCCATAACCCAGCCATACACGCTGGAAGGAGAAATGGTGGCTTCTGGTTCCTCCTTCTCCCACCGAGACTGTTTTTTCCTGTGCACCTCTTACCTGTGATTTGAAATCCTGGGAGCTGAGCCTAAATCACCCAGATCATGGGACCGTGGCTGGTCTCTTGGATTATCACTACAGAAAAAATTCAGAGTAGAAGGGCAAAACACAGAGAGAATTTCATCTCCCTCTTCCTTCTACTCCTTCCCATGAGAATGAATGTTCTCCTTTTTGAAAAAAAGGACCAGAAAGTCTCCCATAGAGGGGGAGCTCAGAGCTGTGGATGCCCAATGGAGGGACATGAAGGGGAAATCACAGCTCATCCTTGCTGCCAGAAGCAGTTAGCTAAAGGCAGCTGCAAACTTGAGTATTCCTGCTAGGGATTTGTGATGAACATTGACACCAGGCTGGCGCAATGCACGCATGTGTCCACCAGTCCAACCCTGTATCTACTCTGGGGGAGACAGATGTATAAAAACAATGTGTTCATACAGGTAAATTTTGGTTATCTACAGCCTGGTGGGCTGGGACAGAGTTAATTTTCTTCATAGTTGCTGGTAACACAGGGATGTTTTCGTTACTGCTGAGCAGGGCTTACACAGTGTTGAGGCCTTTTCTGCTCCACACCCCTCCCCACCAGCGAGGAGGCTGGGGGTGCACACGAAGCTGGGAGGGGGCACAGCCGGGACAGCTGACCCCAACTGACCATATGACGTCATGCTCAGAAATAAAACTAAGGGGGAGGTTGGCGGGGGGGCTGCTGCTCAGGGACTGGCTGGGAATCAGTTGCTTGGTGGTGAGCAATTGTTTTCATTTGCATCACTTGTTTTTCCTGGGTTTTATTTCTCTCTATTTGCTATTTTCCTTGTCATTATAAATCAGTATTATTATGATGATTACTATTAATATAATTATTACTATATTTTATTTCAATTATTAAACAGTCTTAATCTCAACCTATGAGTTTTCTCACTTTTACCCTCTGTATTCTTTTCCCCATCCCACTGAGGAGGGAGTGAGTGAGGGGCGTGTGGGGGTTAGTTGCCGTCTGGGGCTAAACCATGACAGCCCTTTTTTGGCATGTGGGGCTCAAAGTGTTCGAGTTAATGACAGATATGATTGGAATGTGCTAGATGGAATGTATAGCTGTTATTGCTGTTTACCTATTAATCAGCAGGCTCCTGTGCTTGCCATGGGGCTCGCTTGCCTCACTGTATATGAGAGTCAACTGCTCGCTAGTGGCTGCTTTTTGCCTTCCCTGCTCGCTGTGCTGCGGTGCTGCTGATCATCTGGCTCTGCTGTGCCTGGGAAGGGTTTGATAACAGCCACGGCTCATGCGCCTGGGCTGGCAGACGGCCAGGGCATCGCTGCTGTTCCTGTGCTGCTGCACTGGGCAGGCTGGAACTCCGGGGTGAGCTCAAGTCGCAGGGACCATGACCGGTGGGTGAGTCCATGCGGGAGCAGGACACCCCGAAGCATCTGTGGCCGTGCATAAGTCCACGCCAGAGCAGATATATCTTGAACCATCTGTGGCCGTGGTTATGCCTGTGCTGCGGCAGGTATACCTCTGAAGGGATTGTGGCCTTTCCTACAGTCACAGTAGCGTGTAATCATCGTACTTCAATGCTTTGGATACACCCCTCAAAATATCCTCCTTTAGTGTCAACATAATGATGTTTGGTACAACAGACTCTTTGCTTAAAACAGTGGTGCCGTTAAAATCAACAGCAAAACGTTGTCTTCAGTGAGGAACTTTGACACAAGAGTTTCATCTGGAGCAAGGTGAATAGTTCCTCTAGTTCTTTAGGCAATTTGTCTTTATTTCCCAATGCTCTAAGGAATAAAACTGAAGTACTGTGATTAAATGCTGCCATGACTGCTTAAATAGGATTGAATCAATGAAGTCATTCAGAATATGACCAATTTGCTGCTGAAAGTGTGTTTGCCTCTAAAACATGCCCATTGCCTCTGATGTTGCAAAACTTATTTACTTGTAATGTTCTGCAGCCTCCTGAAGTTTTCTCCTGCATTTTTCAATGGAAATGGGGTAAACCGAAGAGAAACCTGTCTGGATGTGATTAATCTGGCCATATGCAGAACTCTACAGAGTAGAAATTAATCTGATAGAATCACAGAATCACAGAATGGTTTGTCCTGGAAGGGACCTTGAAAGATAATCTATTCCAACCCCCTTGCATAACTGAGCTATCTGTTTGGATTCCCCTTATAATCAATTAAGAGAAATAAGCACATCTAAAATTTGAACCACCTCATTGTAAAATAGATGTCCGAAGAGGTTAGGTGAGTCATTTGCATTGCAGATAGGTGAAGTTG